AGACCGCCCAGCTCCCCTGGCCGGGGGCCACAGAGACAAACAGAGCGTCTCAGCCCTGCCCCGCTGATCTGTCTGGCCCACTGGCTGTGCTGCCCTGGGTAGGGGAAACTGTGTGCTGTGGTTTGGGGGGAAGGCTTGATTCTAAGCTCAGCTGGCAGGCGCTTTGCTCGGGTTCCAATTACCCCTCAGTCCTCTCCTAGCACACACTGCATCCCTCTAGCTGCAATTCTGCAGCAGCTGTGCCCTCCATGAGTGTTAAACGTGCCTGCGTTTCCTTCTGCCTGCAGGTGCTGTCTCCGGGAGACCTCCAGACAGGTCAGTCTCAAAGACTCCCCTTGCCCCCTTTGAAAGCCGTGACACTAACCCACAGAACCACACGAATCCAAATGTCCACAATGGAGGCCTCGGTGGTTAATAAGAGATTGAGCTGAGACCATCCTGACGCTCATCATGAGCTGAGCTACCGATTCATGGGGCCCACCTCAGACGAGTCCCTGAATCTCTTTGTCCGCTACTCAGTCTGACTGGGGAACGAGACGAGCAGAAGTGTCACTGATGTCCTGGCCCTTCTCCCACGCCAAAAGCCAGGTGCTGTCTGTGGACTGAGCTTTTCTGGGCAAATCCCAGCATGGTCAGGAGCAGGATCTGGGCGTGAAGACACGCACTCTGTGCAGCCTTCTGCAAGTCGTGTCACTTCAGTGCCTCAGTTTCCCCACACATACAGTAGGGAGCCTTATACTCGCCTCTCTCCCCAGGGTGGGGTGAATGAATTAGCGAACACGCAGTTGATGATGAAAAGTGGTATGAGCACTAGGAATCACCAGCTCCAGATCTCCATCCAAGAATGGAGAGATTAGACCCTTCGTTTGCTTTGTCCTTTCCCAGTCTCTTTTCATGAGTTAACAACACCGGCCGGGGAAGAGTCATCTCTGAATCTCCGCTCATGAGAGTTAGCAGGGATATTCACCCCTGCAGGGAGGGATTCAACTCAAACGTACGGCCTCAAAGCCTGGGACCCAAACCAACTGGCAGGGGGTTCCCCAGCCCTGCATAAGAGCAGGGCCCACCTTTGGAGCGTGGGCGTCTGGATCAGTTTGTTTGATCATAACTCGCTGCAGCGTGCACGTAGATGCTGCTGGCCACCTCTTGAGGTGTTTAACCCAGCATCTCGGGCTGCAGTGCCTGGCATCTGATGCACTGTGTGCCCCTCTCCCCCCATCCACAGTTTGCATGTTCATAGAGGAAAGCCGCCTAGGCCGACACCACTGGAGACTCAGCCTAGCCCCGCTGCTGCTGCGTGTAGCTGCCACGTTGAATTGGGTGCTGCAGGACCCAACGGCCAGGAGCGGGGAGTGGAGCTACATCACGGTCAAGGTAAGATCCACATCGCTTGGGGGTTATAGTCTCCTCTGGATGCCTGTAACATGCTGAAACTCCCACGAGCACTAGGGGAAGAGAAGGGGTTAAAAAACCCAAACATTCATTGGAATTTGGTGTCCTCCCCCGTAAGACGGCAGGACTTAGGGGTTGGAAGAAAAAGTTCCCCCTATGTTGGGGTGGGGGGGGGGGGCAGGCGCATTGTAGAACTGTTAAGAAAAAGATCTAGCAGGTGACAGAGGGTTGCGCTTTATCCTTTTTCTTCCTCAGACCTGCCTGCAGCTTTTCCAGGCGATGTCAAAGGAAGTGTCGCCTCTGGTGTGGAGCGAAGCCGAGAACAGTGAAATCGTGCAGAGCATTTTGGGATCTCTGCTGCAAGTCGTCATGGAGCAGGTGATTATAGTCCAGGCAACTACCCAGCCATGGCCCAGATGAGACAGCAGCCAAGCTACTGCAGAGAGTTTGAGCCCACGTGAAGCCAGGCCAGCCTGGATCTGAGGGGAGAAGTTTGTCCCCGGTTAGAGAAATAAGGATAATGCTTTACCTGTTCAAAGCACTTTCCAACGTTATCTAATTTCACCACTCAGCACTCCTGCCAGGGAGGCAAGTTTTATTATCCCCACTTTACAGTTTCCTCGGGGAAACTGAGGCAGAAAACATAAGGCCAACATTTTCAAATATAGGCACCTACACAAAAGTTGCCTGCTACGGAGAGGTGCTGAGTATTCACAGCTCCCATGAGGTTATGGAGGGGGAACAATAACTGCACTAAAGTGAAGCCATGATAGGATGCAGTGATAGTGCCATGCTAGGTGACAGCTGCTGGTAATGGGTGTCTCCACCTTTGCCAGCTGGAGACGTACCCATGCGTACATCTGTACATGTGTAATACACGTGTTTCAGTATGTCCATGTACACTGCCGCGTAAGTGACTGCAGTGGGGCAGGGGGAGTTGTGATGAGAGAGATCCAGTCCACCCTATGTGCTGCAAAAGTGCAGCATACCCCCAGTGGCTTTGTAAGTGCCTTTTCTTTGCAGGGAGAGGGGAGGGCAGTAAGTGATGTTTAAATGGCTTTGTAAAGACAAGCTTTTTAAAAGGGTGAGTTTCCTCAGACAGCTAACAAGGACGCCCGCCTGCTGGCCGGCACTGCCGTGAGCATGTTGGTGAACACTGCTGCTGAGCCAGAGAGAGGGGCCAGAGCCGTGCTGACTCTTTTCCAGCTAGTCGACCAAGGTGCGTGCTTGATCTTCAGTAACGATCCTTGTTAGCACTAGATCTCAAGGTGCTTTCCAAAGGTGGGGAAGTGACCTGCCCAAGGTGACAGAGTCAGTGGCTGAACGAGGAACAGATCACAATTCCCTAGAGGCCGTTCTGCCTTCCCAGGTGAAGGAAGGGGAGGAAGTCTCCAGCAAAGCCTAGATATGGGGCTCTCGGACCATGGGGCAAGGCGGCACAGTAGGTTACGTGCACTGACCTTTTATTTCTGCAGATTGAGCCCCTCCCACTCTGGAGCAGGCAGTGTACACTGCATTTGGCGGGTTCAGCATGATTGGGAGAGTCTGCTCAGGGAAGGCCCTGTGTTGTATGGGCCATATTTCTGCGCTGTCTGCTCACGCTGTGCCTGGCTCTGACCTGTGCTACAATTAATACTAATGGGTGTGAAGGACTAAAGTTAACCTGAGAAACGAAAGGCTGATTTGCGGTTTGAAAGTCAGTGTCTGGAAAAGTCTCTGCTCTGTCCTAACTTGGTGATTTTCCCTAGGGCCAGGAGAGCTGAGATTTGGAGAACTCAAGGTGGAGACGTCTGTCCTGAGTTCAGACGGCTTAGCGAGACTGGTGCTCACTAGGGGTTTACTAACTTGCTGCAAGAAGGAGATCCTGAGCTGCCGGCTGGACAGCTTCCCACCCCAGGTAGGAGAGCTCTAAGTTAGAACGAGATTCTGTTGGGGAATGCAGAGGACAAGCAAACTGGGCTTTGGGCAAAGGGTTTAGAAAAACCTTTCACCTGTTGCTGGGTGTTGGCTCAGCAAGTACTTGGGGTGGCTTTAGATACAGGGGGAGGTGCACGCTAATTCATTGCCGAGCAAGCCAGTTCCATTTACTTGGATCTAGCTGCACCAACCTGCACCAGCAGCGAGTTTAAGCCCTGTCAGTTGGCAAAGGCCTTACACTCCCGCCAGGCATTGTGTTTAAATGTAGTTGTTGCCAGGGGGCCTTTGTTTCCCTGATCAGTATGGATAGATTTGTTTCCCCAGGAGAATCTTGGAAGTCAAGCTGTGCTGTGAGTAACCCCTTCAGTAGCGGATATAGGCATGAACACACCACGGGGGAATCAAGAGAAGAAGAATGCTAGAAGTCTGTTAGCAGCACCATGACTGTTGCTATTGCTGGTTCACCTGCTGTGGCCAGGGCCTTAGCTGGGTGGAGGGGGAACGTTCTATGTAATTAATCAATCCGCTGCTGCCATATCAGCTGTAAGAAGGCAAAGTTCAGTGGCTCAAGAGCCAAAGAGTAAAACTGCACGTGAACAGATCGGTGTTTCTTGGTGTCATGGCAAAGAGCTTTGCAGGAGGAGTCCAAGAGAGAACTGAACCTGCCCAGCTAGGGGGCATGTGGGGAAACCTCTGTGGATTTCTGCGGAGCCCGCCCTGGCTAAAGGCTGTCTGACTCAGCGTATTTACATAGTGCCCATTGCTGTAGCAGCTCGGCCTGGCTCTGGTGATGGAAGCTTCCTCACTTGAGACCCCTGCAGCTCCCCAGCTGCCATGGGGGAGCAGGGGGACCCCCGCAGCTCTCCACCATCCCACAGCTGCCCAGCCCCTTCCCATTTTATCATGGATAGTTTTAGTAAAAGTCAGGGACAGGTCACAGGCTTCCTTGAATTTTTCGTTATTACCCGTGACATGTCCGTGACTTTTACTAAAACTATCCATGACAAAAATCTTAGCCTTAATTATGACCTAGCAGGTCCTCTTTGAAGTTCTGGTGTCTAGGAATCTCTTCTGTCAATCAGCAAGAAAAGCCCAACACCACAAATACAGTGGTAGCTCAGCTGACAGCTATTGCTTAACACTGGTGTATGCCCTGCAGGCTTGTCTCTTGCTGGACGTGCTGTTTCCAGCTGTCTGGGCTGTGAGCGAAGGGCAGAAGGATTATCATTACTACCGTTTCCAAGGTAATAAAGATCTGCCCCCACCCCACCCCGAATATACACCAAGAGGGTTTTAAAGGTTTGCCACCCACTGCAGCAGGAACCTCCAAACCCCCATAGCTTTTAGACATACCGTATGGGAAGGGGAATTTCTAAGAGTGACTCAGCTGCTTGAGGAGATCTAGGGCACCTTGGGGTGGGGAGGGGAACCACCAGCAGTGATCTTTCCCTCAATTCTGAAATTAAAGCCCAATCAAATCCAGCCTGGGCCCCTTAGTACCATCGTGCTGTAACGCACACGCTTGCCTTAATCTTGCTTTGAGCCCCTGCTGCGTAAGGTACATTCACAGAGAAATCTCAGGGGAAATGGTGTTCAGAGAGGCAGGTGTTTGCCCACTACCTGGTTGCCCACTCCAGCTGGGAAGAGCTGTGGGAGGTTTTGCTGTTTTGCCTGCTGGAAGAACTCTATACTAGTCTGTTCTGTGCTTTCAGTTTTCTCCCTCTGGCTGCAACGTATCCTGGAGTGTCTGCCCGAGATCTGGAAAGTCAAGGAGAGCCGCATGCTGGCTGAGAACTCTGAACTGCTCCACAGACTGAGCCAGTTCATCTGGAACAATGCAGAAAGCCCGGTAACGCACCCAGCCTGGGGGGGCATAGCTCCTACAGGCCACACCCTCTTCCAGGGCAGCCAGAAATCTTCCCTTCTTCCCCCCTCATCATCCCCGTCTTTCACTTGAAGAGAAGTGCACAGTGCAGCCTGGCCGGATTTTAGTCTGTCCCTACCTCATTTCACATGCACTGGGAGCAGAATACACCGCATAGTAACTAGGCAGGGTTGCTAAGATACGACTGACCTTGCATTATAGGGCTGGGCGCATTGGCCTTGCCTTTTCCTCCTGGCTGACGCGACGTTCGGTCAGTGCTGGCGCTTTGCGAGGAGAGCCCAGCTGTCTTGCAGCTTGGCAGAGCCAGACTCCAACAGCCATGTTCCCACTGAACAGTCCCGTACTGAGCAAGCCATCTTGTCAGGTTCATCAAGACAGCCTTCCATTGGCAAATGCCATTAAGGAGCCCCAACGGGGACACCGTGGGGCCGATTTTACCAAGCCACATCAGGCTGTTGTGTTGGGTCCCCTGCCCCCATTGCTGGTGGCAAAAATGGGACTACTTAATATTGGTTATCATTTGCCACAGGACAGGCAATCCCTAGTGACAGATAAAGGAGGGTGGAGGATGTTATAAAGCCCCTCTAACAGCTTCCGCCAGTGAGACATGATGGAGAATCTCTTCTTAGTTTGCGTTTCTTTTCTGGTTGTTCAGGTGGAAGGGGCGTCAGAGTTCATACATAGCTCCTTTCAACATCTCCTGGAGATCTACCGCCTGGAGTGCCATCGCTTCGAGGACCTGGAGAGACCCCTCTATGAACAGTTCCTGCAGAGAATCATCACAATGCCCTGGCAGGTCAAAGCCAGATATTTCCCCCTGTGCGCCATTCTCCCCTACGTGGGCACAGAGAAAGTAAGGAAACCTGGTGGGGACATGCAGTGTCCAAGACACTTACCGCGTGGGTGGGATGAGCGAGTGCTGCCCACAGAGGGACAGGTATTGCGCGTGCCAGGCACAGCAAAGAAAAGAATGGAGGGTGTGATGCAGATGCCAAAACATCCCACAAAGGGCTAGATGAAAACCAGACACACCAGAACTTGTACTCGCCTGCGAGTCCTCAGTCACTGCTTGAAGAAAGGAGGGGCACATTGGTACACACTATGGGTTGAAGATCTGCATAGAGAGCTTGTGCTTGGATAACTTGGGTCTCCCTGCGGCCTCCATCAAAAAATCAGAAAGATAGATAGTGTGTGCACCTTGCACCCTAGGGGATGGGATGCAGGTCGCTCTGCCATGGGTCATAGGCCCTATCCTGCTAATAGAGAATCTCTTCTGGTTCAAGTGGTAGCAGCCTGTGTTTTTGTTACTTCCCCTGTGGGACCTCGTATATCCAGCTCTCTTATGCATTGGCAGAAAAGAAATGGTTGGATCTCTGCCTAACTGTGGCCCCCATAGCCCCCAAGATCCACCACAAGGAGGTTCTCAAGGGCATGAGCCACTGCCCCTCCTACCAACCACCCTGCCTTTCTGGATGCCAAGACACGTCAATGCAGAGATCACAGCAGCATTTTCCTGCCCCATTGTGGTCTCACTAGAGATGGGGACAGAATATTTCGCTACGATTGTCTTTGGGTTATTGGGGGTCTTCTGTTTTGAACCCAGTACTGCTGTTAGGGTGTTCCCAGTCTCTGACCTGGTAACCGGGAGCCCCAGGTTAGCTCTTTAGCTGTTGCACAGAGAATAGGCAGCTCATGAAAGAGGACAGAAACAATACATCAAATGCGATAGGTAGCTTGGGAAAATTGGGGCTGGAACATGCAGCCTTTTACCACTGGGTCCCTGATTTGAATGCAGCCTTAGTCAAAAGCACTGATCACTGTGGTATCTCAGCATTGCTTAGTGCCACCAATGACCAGAAATTACCACCTGTGTTGGGATCCACCCCTCCTTGGTGGGGAAGGCAGCTGGTCCTCCACTATCATCATACAGCCTTTGTTTTAGCTACTAATAAGATGAGCAAGGCTTGTTTCCTTGGTGCGTTAGGAGAGTTCAGGGGCCGCCTGAAGCAAACAAGGACCGTAAAGTTATTTGGGGTTTTCTAGGTTCTGGATACCTACAAGGATCTTCCCCAGCACCTTCTGAACTGCCTTTCCACTAACCACCTGTGCCCAGCTGCATCAGACGTGTATAAAACCATTTTGCAACAGCAGCGCAAGCACTGGATTGCGGGAGAGGAACCTGCCACAGAGGAGGAGCTGGCTCAGAAGTGGGCACTGCACTGGCTGCCCACCCTGGCCAGAGCTTTGACCTCTCCCATCTCCTTCCTTCAGAGCAACGCTTCCAACTACCTTCTTGTCTGGACTTTGCGGCTCTTCCCCGCCTCTTACGCTTTGCTTGCTGAGAGCTGCAGTGGTGGGGACTCTGCCCACCTTCGGGCGTGGGTCGCCCTGCTGAACGGCCGCAAGATCATCACCGGGGCCTTGCCCCTGGATGGGGAGACTTTGGAAAGGCTCTGCTGCTGCTTGCACTCCAGGGAGGAGAACATTCGCCTAGCAGCTCTGGGTCTCCTGTGTTGCAGCCCCAGGACCAACCAGGCCTTGTCAGAGGTGGAGGTCCATCTACTGAAGGAGTTCTTGCCACTGAACCTGAACTGCGACTCGTCCTCTTTCCGGCAGCTGCTCCAGGCTGCAGTGAAGAAGGCTCTGGTCCGGCTGAGGGACAGCGCCCTCTCTCAGCTGCGCAGCAAGATGCAGAGCAAAGCTACTGAGCGCTCCGCCAGCACGGATCCAGAAGGAGCACTTGCACAAGCAGTAGGTGAGTGAGCCGTTCCTGACATCTCACTCCAAGCCTCTGGTCCCTGTAGGCTCCCATCGCTGCTTAACTTTTCCTCTCTGCTCACCTCAGCGGCCTCCAGCATTAGGTTTTCACACACAAAGCCACCACCTGGCACTACTCTTTTGTGGCCCACTTGAGCTGGGATGCGCGTAGGGAGCTCTGGTGGGTCGTGCAACTGGGCCTGGACAGTGGGGGTGGGGCAACTTGGACCTTTAATGGAAGTTTTATTCTGCCTTCTGGCACCAGGCCTTGTGATTCCACCGCTATCTGCCAGGACTGCTCTCTTCCGAGCTCCAGTCCTGCTACCGCCGAGCCGACCAGCGGGCGTGTAACTCAGCGATACCAACTCTTGTGATTTGATCATGAATTTCACAGTTTTTTTCTTAAAGCCTCAGCTCCTGGAGTCATGTGACTGAGACTCTCGGCTTTTATTTATTTTTTCTAGCCTCCCTGATTGTGAAGAAAAGCTGGGAAATGTGACCCCCCTAAAGCTCAGAAAGCAGATGGCAAATAAATTGATTGGGGGGAGGGAGATTATAATTTTGTTAATCTCATAAAATGTGGGGGGCTTGACGCCTGATGTTAGAATGTTTGGCGCTGGTAGTACAGGTAATGAGGCTGGGCCAACATCAGTGGGTCAAACATTTGGGTTCAGTTGGGATAAACACCCTGAAATTTGGACGCTTCTCCACATGTCAAGAGTCTGAAAAACTGGAAAGCTTACAGAGGAGAGGCAGCGAGGCCTAGTGGGTTAATCCCGGACTTGAGAGACCTGGGTTTTATTCCTGGTTCTGCCATAGGCCTCATGAGCAAGTCACTTCATCGCTCCGTGCCTCAATTTCCCCATCTGTAAAAATGGGGAGAACAATACTGACCTTCCTGTGTAACACGCTTTGAGAAGTGCTGTGTAAGAGAGAGGTGTTGGTCGTATTGCAACAGCCTGGGGCGATAGGACATTTTGGCATTCCTGGCCCAAAACCAAACTGTGTCTGAGCATGTCCAGAAATAAAGTTCCTTTCTCCAAGTGGTCTAGGCTGGGGGGTACTTTCTCTGAACATAGCAAAACAGAGTGTGCACCAACGTGAAACTCATGAGTGGGTTTTCCATTACCCAGGCTGAGCAAAGAGTCACCCTTAAAAGCTAAAAGTGGATTTTCAAGTTAAAAAAAAATCCTCCGTGGAGTTAATCTGAAGCAGATAAACTGGCTAACGCATACGTCAGTGCTTTCTGTGGGACAGAAATCAAAGCCACCAGCTGGGTGTCACAGGGCTGGCACAGCTGACAGCTTTTCCTTTAGCCTCAGTGGCAGGGGCCTGTGCTTTTGGAGCAGGTGGATCCAAGTCCTAGTCCCTCTGTTGTCACAAAGTACCAGTTGGCCATTAGATGCTGAGAAGCCCCTCGGTAGCCATGCACTTTCCCACCTTATAGTCAATCTAGTGCACCCTCATGCCCCAAAGGGCTCGCTCTGCCCTCCCTCTGTGCACTGCTCACAAGTAACCAGAGGTGCTTTTTCCCCCCATGCAGATTTTGTGGAGTGGCTGCTGCAGTTAAGCATTTCCTTTCTGACCCCAGGGTCAAACTACCAGAGGAAGAAGACTGCCCTGCTGCTCCTGGCAGCGGTGCTGGAGACCTGCACTGACACCTGGAGCCCCGCCAGGAAGAAGGGGCAGCCTCCACGTGGGTAACAGCAGGCCACCCCTGAACGGCATGAGCTCTGAGTAGATTCCTCAGCCTGTCTGCTTCTGACCCCCGTCAGCAGGGTGGCCACATTTAAATGCCCTCGTGGAATGGCCTCTCCATGTCATGGGAGGTTGTAGTGATTTGGGGGCGTGTGTATCAAATCCAGAAAAATATCCTGCAGCCTTTTACAAACAAACTCCTTCTACATGCTTTGGCCCTCAACTCTGGGGGCTGCTGATGAGCAGATGGGAGTCTAGGTCCCTGGAGGGGTTCGGGTGGGGAAAAAAAAAGAATCAAGAGCCTCTGACATTATATGAGGAATGTTGGGGATTTTGCATTGACCTGCCTATAATTAGGGCCCTACCAAATTCACGGTCTATTTTGGTCAATTTCACGGTCATAGGATTTTTAAAATCACGAGTTCCATGATTTCAGCTATTTAAATCTGAAATTTCACAGCGCTGTGATTGTTGGGGTCCTGACCCAAAAAGGAGTTGGGGGTGGGTCACAAGGTTATTGTAGGGGCGGGTGCGGTACTGCTACCCGTACTTCTGCACTGCGGCTGGCAGAGGCGTTGCCTTCAGAGCTGGGCAGCTGGAGAGCAGCGGCTGCTGGCCGGGAGCCCAGCTCTGAAGGCAGAGCCGCAGCCAGCAGCAGCGCAGAAGTAAGGATGGCAGCTATGGTATTGCCACCCTTACTTCTAGGCTGCTGCCTGCAGAGCTGGGCCCTTAGTCAGCAGCCACTGCCACTCTCCGGCCACCCGGCTTTAAGGCAGCAGTGCAGAAGTAAGGGGGACAATACCATACCATGCTATCCGTACTCTCTGCTGCTGGTGGGGCGCTGCCTTCAGCGCTGGACGCCTGGCCAACAGCTGCCGCTCTCCAGCCCCCCAACTCTGAAGGCAGCAGTGCAGAAGTAAGGGTGGCAATACCGCAACCTCCCTAAAATAATCTTGCGACACTCCTGCATCTCCCTTTAGGGTCAGGACCCCCAGTTTGAGAAACGCTGGTCCTCCCCGTGAAATCTGTATAGTGTAGGATAAAAGCACTCAAAAGACCAGATTTCATGGTCTGTGACGCGTTTTTCATGGCCGTGAATTTGCTAGGGCCCTACCTATGATAAGCTCCCATGTGTGTGAGATGACACAAGGCTCAGTGGAATGAAATCTTTACCCACCCAAGGGCTCATTTGATAGAAACTAGTTTGCAGCCCCCAGCCCAGTTAACTTTAACTTGCACTGACAGCGCATTGTTGCAGCCATACACTGTGTAGCAGAAGCTGTGTTGGGTACTCTGCTGCCCCTCATTCCCTAGCACAGGGGAGCCCTTGAGGTCGGGGACAAAGGTTCTGCTGCAGCTGCATGACTCTGTACAGGATAAAAAGCCCTTCTTTCCCAGCACTGACAGCAGAGAATAAACCAGAGTCGTTATGAACTAGCAGGACCCGTTTTCCCTGCTGCTTGCCACCACCCTTTCGATTGAGCCCAGCCCTGACCACAGTTACTGCCTACATCTCACCGACCTGCCTTTCTGTCACCACAGAGAACATGGCGGCGTTGTTGAGCTGGGCCAGGCAGAAGGGCTGCTGGGACTTTTTCTCTAGAAGCAACTTGTTGGCAGTGCTGAGCTGCTTGCAGGACAGTACGAATGAGGTAAGCAGCCCTCTGTCCCCAACACTGCCACAGCTCGATGTTGTGGACAGCTGGAATGAGTAACAGAAGCTGCGTGGCGTGAGCAGCAGGAGTGGCCCGTTTACCTGAACGGAAGCAGGGGACCCTATCAAGATTGGGCAGGGACAGTGCTGGGGAGGCTGTCCCCCCCTGTAAAGAGCCAGATCTGGCTGCCAGCTTTCCTGGCGCACGGTGCTGCTGGGAGCCTGTGTTCTTAGGCTCTGTCGGAACCCCCATAGCCTCCCACCACCACGTCAGTACAGAATAGCCAAGTAACAACGGGTGCCCCTTTTGCTTCCAAAATTAGAGGTCTGAATGGGCTCTATTGGCTCTGGATTCCCAAGCATTCTGCTCCCCAAAGCCTCTCTGCTTCCTCACCTGTGTCCTACCATAACCTTCCCCTCTCTCCACCCCCCTCCTCTCTTGGCAGGTCCGAGAGCTGGCATCAGAGCTGCTCATCCGCTACTTCCCACCGGCTTTCCCAGAACCCATTGCTGTGGCTTTGTTTGAGCGTGCCCAGGAGGCTGTGAGCAGCCCCAGAGTGCAGGAGGCAGAAGCCGGAGCGGTGCTGATGAAAACCATCCTCCAGAAGTACTGACTGGCTTGTCGCTCTCGTTTACTCTAGAAAGGACTTAGACAGGGGACATGTGGGAAGGAGACCAAGAGAACCGGTAGTGTGTACATAATCCTGTCTGTCCACACACACGGCTCACCATGACTTGCTTAGCTGACTCCCGATTCCAACCAGTTTGATATCACTTACATAGCACTCAAATGTCTTTCCAGTTACTCTGATCTCAGACTCTGACAGGGCATCAACATCCACCCGCTTGTTTAATCCTCTGCCTCTGTGATCCCAGAGGACAGGTCCTCATGCCAGATATTGTCTGAAGTGTCTGTTTAACTGAACGGAAGCAGAGGATCCTATCGAGATTGGGCAGGGACAGCCCTGGGGACGCTAGCCTCCCACCACCACATCAGTACAGAATAGCAAAGTAACAACCCTTAGGGTTAGTCTGAAGTGGGGAGGTTTAGGTTGGATATTAGGAAAAACTTTTTCACC